ATATATATATATTTTTTTTCTTTATTCATATATAATATCACCCATAATTGAAGAAATAAAAGTCCCAGTAGAGTTATTTAATTTTTAATTAATACGCTACACAATAATTAACATATTAGAAATTAGAACATTTATTTGTATTCCATACAGCATAGAAAGGTTGCAGAAACATTACATAAATATTTCAATGTAACAACGGAATATTGCATATACATTGTAAAATGTTGTTACAACATTGCTACAACATTAAAATGTCTACTCTTATTGTTAGTAACATTGCAATGTAACATTATGGCAACATTACAATGCAATATATGAATATTAACAAATGCGAGATATAAACTTTTTTCTTAATTTATACATTTTTATTAAACTGGCTTACACACACACGCACGCGCGCACACACACACGCGCGCGCGCGCGCGCGCACGCACACGACAAAAAGATTTGAGGTCCAACTTAATTAATAAAATAATAAAATACTTTATTTTATAAAATTAAAAATTTTGTTTTTAATATTTTATATTGTTTATATAAATTTTATATTTTTTTATATTTATATCAATATTGAACTGTACATCTTAAATAGACAACAGACAAATGATTTTTACTCATTACCCAGACATTTACCTGCCCGTTTTAAAAACAATCAATTCAATATCTGATGACCCTGTGTTGGAGTTATAGAGAAATTAAATAAATAGAAAAGTAGTTATTATACATCTTTAATCTTATTATAGTCATTGTTTGTAAGCTTTATATAATTTTCATGACTTAAATAAAAGATAACGCATCGCGCTTTGCATAGCAGTAAATAAACTTGCAGCTAAATAATGTTTTTTGTGAAGTTTTTGGAATAACATTTCTCATATGAAATATTAGTGACATGTTCCTATATGTCTTTACAATATTGCATTGCAACCTGCAAGATTTTGTAACATTGTTGCAATGTAATTGAAATGTTCTATGCTGTATGGGATTTAATGTCAACATTTTTAATATAGTTTATTAGTATAGAGAGGAAAGCATGTGTGATTGGAAGAGTTAAAAAATATGCAGACTAATATAGAATCTCATCGCGAGTATAATAATCGACTATAAACATTGATTCCATGCAATGAAAAGGTCATTCCAAATTATCCAAAATTGATATATTTTATATATTGTTGCATATGTTATAATAAGTTATAAAGTTATTATTATGTAATGTATTATTCGTTTTGTAATGTATAAATATTTATTTAAAATTTGGCTGATAAATGCAAATGTGTTCTATAATTGTAACTTGGCCATTTTATATGTATCGTTCTATACATTATGTTAATAATTGATACAAAGTAAAACTTCTACTTATCATTGAAGTATCTTTTATTTGTTATAGTATAGTTTCTGTTATCAATATATTTTTACAATATGGCAACATACTATTATATATATAATCTCTATTTCTTATTATGTAAATATAACGAGGTGTATAATATTACAAGGATTGAATAACTCAAGCCTTGTAGATAAACTTTTATTAAAACGGCAATTCTAATAAAAATATAATCTCTATAACAAAAATATATTCTACTCAGTGTCATTATGTATATGTATATCAGATTCACATTGGCTGTATGATTCCTAATTCCTATGAATATAAATACAACATATAAATGTGCACTTCTGAAAATGGTGCGATATGCGAACATATACGATATTTTCTTTTATTCAAACTTCTGATTACATTAATATATTAAAACGTGATTATTAATTATTTGAATATACTAATACCATATATGATCAAAAAATTTAATCGATTGAATGGATAAATCATGGCATTAAAGAATATAAAGCTCTAATAAAAAGTAATAATGTTATTGCACATAATGATCATAATAATTATGAACCATTACAATTATTGCTACATATGTATATCTTCACTTTGTTCTTAACTATTCTATTTTATGCTTTGTACGGCAGTGACAATATATTAATAATAGCTATTAAAAATTTGAATTCATAGATATATACACTTAATGGAGAAATCATGAATGTTTTGGTACTGTGCTGGGCCGCGTTCGAGAACATCACCCGTGTGCACACGAGCGTCGCTCTATCTTTGTTCAACTTTCAGTAAATAACAAAGATAGAACGACGCTCGGTGCACATGGGTGATGTTCTCGAACGCAGTCCTGTATATTCCATACATTAACTTAGATCCTATCGTACATTATTACTTCTGATTCTTATCGCTTTTGTATTGCTGTTTTCGTATTTATCCTCCATTTGATTGCCGCAATTCTTCTAGCTACAATATACATAAATATATACATAAATACGATATAATATACGAAAGTATATTTTAATCGAATTTTATATATTTCAAATTTATATCGCGCGCGCGTACTTGAACTACTTACCTCTTTTTCATCATCAACCTCATCCTCATCATCTGAACCATGTACAGAAGCAGCCGGTGTCGTGTGCCGTGAAGATAATGGAGATGGTGGTTCGCTAATTGGTCTGGGATAATTGAATCGACCAATTCCACCCTCTGCGTATTCTGACGCCAATTCTGGATATACAGTGGTCAACGCCTTTATTCTCGCTTGACGATAATACTGTGCAAAGTACATAAAAGATCAATAAGATAAATAATTAAAAATGAATACGTGAAATTGTATAGTCATCTTACAATGCCAAGATTTCGCCAATCGAGGAGATCACTAAGACGTTCTGTACGATTTCTCTGAATAATACGTTGACGACGACTAAGTCGCGCAAAGTCAAACATATACTGAGCAAGCTGTTGAACGCTCGCTTCCAAACCGATATAACGTCTATCAACAATGTAAATACCATAACTCATTGGATCTGCTATATGTTCCTGCATAAAGCATCCAAATCCTGATAAATTAGTAGTAATGCTAGGAATACCCATAACCGTGCATTCAGCCGGTGTATATCCCCATGGTTCATAATATGAGGGGAAAACGCCCAAATGGCATCCTCTGACAAATTCTTCATAATCGAGACCAAATAGCGGATTTGTTGAAGACAGAAACTCTGGATGAAATACCATCTGTAAATTGCGTAATATATGTTATTTATAAAATAATATTGATCACATACACATATTAATGTCACATAATTCTCTTTTCCAAATCTCGTAGGAATGTATAAAATATATATAAAGTGTTTAGGAATGAAACCAACAAACTTTACCAGTGTGTTCAGGAGATTATTCTAAACGGAAATGTTGATATATTGTAAGTCGATTCAACTTCGTTATCAAGATATGGACTGAAATAACGATTCACCTCAAATAAAGAATTAAGTTAAATTTCTATTACTATTGAAAAACGAGTATTCCACCATTACATTGTTTATAATTTTTATCTGTTTATTTTTTTTATAATTTTTGATTAAAATTGATCATATTAAAAAGATAATAAAGGTAAATTATAAAGCTTGAATATGAAATTGAACTGTAGCTTATTATAGTAAATTTCCTATATCTCGATAGTAATATTGGCTCGACTCATGCTGTATACGGATTATTTTTAGAATAGTCTTTTGTATATACTGGTAAAGTTTGACGATTTCGCTCCGAAACCCTCGTATGTACCTTAACGCGATCATGGACAGTATTGAAAAGATTACACCTTCTAACAGCATTTAACACTGGATCATTCCAATCGTCAACAACGTTATGTGTTGTAATAGGTGGTAATCCATTTCTTTGAAGAGCATATAGACATCTACAAAATAAAATCGGAGATCCATAAAATAAGTCTCGTTACAAAATGTTATTTTAATAATTAACAGACCGTTTTATTTTAATAGTATCCTCTTTTTGTAATAAGTCTTGAGCTTCAGGCATACGACCAGAGAGGCATAATTCATACATCCGTTTCCCTATTTTTTGCTGTATATCGTTGATAGTATCGCGTAAAGATTTAGTTACCTAATGATGATAATTTAACGACATATTACCGAATATCTTGTCAATTATTATTGTTATAAAAAATGTTAATATTAACTTACAGCATGACCACGAAGAGATTCAACATTAAAGTTATTGGTTTTTGCCGGAAAAATAAGAAAAGCAACCACTGTTAAATCAGGTCTGGACGTTTTTAAATAATGATTTAATCTAGCTAAGGCTTCTATGAAAATATCAGCGCCTTTGTTTCCGAATTCATATCGACCAGCGATGAAAAAATATAACGTTTTGTCTAAATCAAAATCATAATGTCTGCAAAACATATATAAATTCAAATATAGTATGAAAATAGTATTTTAGAAATTATCATATGTATAATACAGACCCATAAAAATGACCTCGCACAAATTCATGTATCTTTTCTTTACTGATAGCATGTAAATTTTGAAATTCGTGCAATGCTGCAAATTTCTTTACATTTAATCCGTTTGGTGTGATAATATCAGGTTTGCGTTTGAGCAAGTGTTCGGCTTCGAAACCAGTGATATCCGAAACAGTTGTAAATACATGCGCTAAATGTGAAGCCGCACGTTCCATACAATATCTATGATATATTTGACGCTTCCCTGCTTCTTCATCAACACTGAACTATAAAAACCATATTATAGCATATTATCTGTGTGTGTGTGTGTATATGTTACACATGCATATAGGCGCGCGTTTATACACAAAGAAAAGGTATTCGATAATTAGTGGTACAATCAGAAAGGACATAATTCTATATGAAAAAATAAGTCATGTATGTGTGTGTGTGTATGTGTATGCATACGTCCTTTCAATCATATGATTAAATGTCTATAATTTTATTGATGATTTTTCACCGAGTTTCAGCGGTTTGAAAATAGTCCAATTTTTAACGTATGAAAAGTGTTACCTTTTTTTTTATTTTTTTTGCATACATATACCCACAATAGTGAAAGAGAGAAATTCTTTACCTTATCTAAATTGTTATAAAAATCCGTCTTCCCTGCACAAAGGTATCTACCCAAAAGTGTAGCATGAGTAGTGAATACTGTGGCCACATCCACATGTCTTGTTCTCAAAGCAATTAACCCAACACCTGCTTGCCATTCATGACAATGTATGACTATTCTCGGTGGAATGCTCGAGTATCTTTCAGCTGCTTTTCTATTATTTCATTGTTATAACAAAATCGATAAATTATATATACAATATATATATACACACATACAAGTTATGTGTAATTGTAAAAATAATAATAATTGTTTTACCTAAATTCGGTAATAAATAGACAAACTAAATATCCGAGTATCACGGCATCATTAGCTTCAATATCGAGATGAGGTATTCCAAGATTACAAGTGTTCCATAATTCTTGTTTATATTCGTCTAGTTTCCAGGCAGCACTTCCAATATCAAATAAAATTATTTGAGGATTTCCATCCACCAACCATGTTCCTGTTACAATCTGAATAATGATTTATATTTTAAAAAATATTCTGGATTGCAAAATTATTATTATGCACTAAAATAATAAAAGTAAACAGACATATGGAAGAAGAAGCTTAACAATAGCTTAATATAATACCATGGAAAATTTAATATTTATTTAAGTCAAAGAAAAGTACTAAACATTAATAATAATTATGCTATCTAATTATGTAAAAAAAAATAAAAATATATATTTAAAAATACAATGAGATATTTATTTGCATATTCTGATATATTTTTACTCATTCTGATATGTAGTACAAATACACATATATGTCAATGAATTATATTTGTTATATTCATATATCATTTGTTATATTCATATATTTGTTATATTCATTAGATCTACTATAGCAAATATACAAACTCTTTTTATTCTTAGTGTACATTATAAACAATATATTCTACAGAATATATCAATGATAAACATTTACAACTCCTTAAATAACTTGGTTCAAAATTAATAATAATTATAAAGATTGTGTGTGTGTAGAGTGTGCACATTAAGTTATTTATGATTTAAAAAATTTACAAAACTTACTTTGTATCCTTGATCACGTAGAACTTGTACTGCTTGATGTAAAGGATTATGAGGAGGAAAATCAGCCTCTTCAACTTCAGTACGTGCTGAATGTTCTTTATATGGACCAATGAGACAATATTGATCACCCATTTCTTCAGTTGAAACATAAGCTTTAGATCTTATTACAGTATAAATACCACCAACTGAAAAAGAGTTGTTTATGGATTGTGTAAAATATAAATAAATATATATAGTTATAGAAATAGAAATATATGTATGTATGTGTGTGTGTGTGTGTGTGTGTGTGTGTGTTTGTACAGGATGTCCCAGACCACCTGTATACCCCTTTTAAAATGAAAATAAATGGCTTTTATCAAAAATCGCAAACATTGTTTAAGTAAATCGGGTATGCTCTATTGAATAGTGATATTTTCAACTTTTGATTCCGACCGGAAATACGCCATCTGGACCGGAAGTTGAATTTTTTTAGGGGAACATAGTCAATTTTTAAGATCAATTTTAAGGTTGACAGAGGCACTTTTAGAAAAAACGTTTGATACAAAAGTTTCTTATTTTTTCACGTACAATTCGAATCTGTAATAAAAAGTGTGTGTGTGTGTGTGTGTGTGTGTGTGTGTGTGTGTGTGTGTGTGTGTGTGATAAAAGACTTTATAAAGATATAAAACAGGATTTATTATCAAATAGAAGAAAGGCTAACAGAGCCAGCTGCAGTTGTTAGTGCATATATTAATAAAATTCATTCTCAAATTATTATTGTAGAGCAGTTTCATCTGTAGAATATTGTAATTTAATTACAATGCAAGTTATCTAATCAAATAACTTATTTTTGTGATTTTTATTATGTTTTTCAATATATAATTGATTCCTAGAAATAAGATATATGATAGCATACCTTTGTTGGCAGCTTCCCAAGCAACTTCAAAGTTCCACCGATTTTCATGTTGGGCTGAGTAACCACGGTCCATGAATTCAAACAAATCATTGGTACTATCTACACGATAAAATCTTCTGGAAGCACGTTCTCTTGACATTTTGTTGACTGTTCTATAATATTTTGTTAACTGTAGTATACATTTATTAAGTCTAAATAAATTTAATAAAATTAATATACCTCCCTTTATATATACATATATATATATATATATATGCAGTTTAAATGTTTGAAGCCAGACTCG